AAAATATGCCAAGGAAGACTTCCTCAGTGTCCCATCAGTACAAACAGTACATTAAGTGTAGATACAGAAGAAGGTATTTTCTGCTGTGACAGACTGGACTGTGGAATTCTTTCCTTGTGATAGCCTGAATGGCCCTAGCTCAGCAACAACTTTAATTTTCATTGTCCATCAAAATTTGGGGGCTAAGGGATTATGGACCATCTGGATTGTGGAATTACAGTACAGTGTATTTTATATAGATTGGATTGAATTGTTTTGTTGTTTCTACCAGGCCTCAAGATGGGTGGGATATAAACACTTGGAAAAGACTTTGATGTTGGGAAAGTGTGAAGGCAAGAGAAGGGGACGACCGAGGATGAGATGGTTGGACAGTGTCATCGAAGCAACCAACATGAATTTGACCCAGCTCCGGGAGGCGGTGGAAGATAGGAGGGCCTGGCGTGCTCTGGGCCGTGGGGTCACGAAGAGTCGGACACGACTGAACAAACAAACAAACAAATGTGCAGAAGGAGAGATTGCCTGAATGTTTGAGATTCCCTTCTATTTCAATTGAGTTAAGTTTATAACCTTAAACCAAAGTTCATCATCCGATAGTCTCACAACACATACAATTTCTTTTCCTTTAAAAAAAATCCAGACTCTAAAGGTCTTTGTGTATGAGTTCTATTTTACCTCCCTTTTGCCCTTTCAAGCTCTTTCTTTTTCTTTAAGTTTAAGATTTAAAGAATCCTATATTATTTGTTCTATGTCAGCCCCCAACTTTTTTTTGTTACTTGTGACAATTGTCTGAACTTTTTCCTCTCAACTTATCGCCCCTTATTCTTTAATTTTCATGTTAGTACTCTTGTTCAATTTTCTATTAGGTCTGTTCTTAATATTTATATTCTTCTTGCTGCAGTTCCTCAGTGGTCTCTGTTGAATATGGATTCTTACTGAATTTGGGTTTTTTTTTGATGTCACTGCTTTTACTTTTCCCTCTTTAATACAACTTCAGTTACTGCAGTATGCTTCTTCTCCTTGGCTTTGGAAGCTTTGTCATTGTTTTAAGGTCATAAATTCCCATCCGTTTATGTTTTTAATAATTTCCCACTGCATTGCTCTGCTAGTAGACATTTTCTGCTCTATTTTGTTCCAACTATCACCTTTTTATCTTTTTTTTTAAAAAAATTAAATTGTACTTTTATTTTTATTTCTATTTCTGTTATTTCATCTTTATAAAAGAGTAAATTAATATTTATTACAAGAATCCCTTTCTGCTTTCAGATGGAACCATTAAAAATTGACATAATCTGTTCTTCTGCTTTTTTAAATTGTTGTTGTTTAGTCATTAAGTCATTTCTGACTCTTCGTGACCTCATGGACCAGAGCATGCCACGCCCCCCTGTCTTCCACTGCCTCCCAGAGTTTGGTCAAATTCATGTTGGTAGCTACGATGACACTGTCCAACCATCTCGTCCTCTGTCGTCCCCTTGTCCTCTTGCTTTCACATTTTCCCAACATCAAGGTCTTTTCCAGGGAGTCTTCTCTTCTCATTAGATGGCCAAAATATTGGAGCCTCAGCTTCAGGATCTGTCCTTCCAGTGATCACTCAGGGTTAATTTCCTTCAAAATGGATATGTTTGATCTCCGTGCCATCCAGGGGGCTCTCAATAGTCTCCTCCAGCACCACAATTCAAAACCATCAATTCTTTGGTGGTCAGCTTTCTTTATGGTCCAGCTCTCACTTCCTTACATCGCTACTGGAAAAACCATAGCTTTGACTATGTGGACCTTTGTCGGCAAGGGGATGTCTTTGCTTTTAAAGATGCTGTCAAGGTTTGTCATCACTTTCCTCCCAAGAAGCAGGCGTCTTTTAATTTTATGGCCGTTGTCACAATCTGCAGTTATCAGGGAGCCCAGGGAAGTAAAATCTGTCACTACCTCCATATCTTCCCCTTCTATTTGCCAGGAGGTAATGTTACCAGTGGCCATGATATTCGTTTTCTTTTTACGTTGAGCTTCAGACCATTTTTTGCACTCTCCTCTTTCACCCTCATTAAGAGGTTCTTTAATTCCTCACTTTCTGCCATCAGAGTGGTATCATCTGCATATCTGAGGTTGTTGATATTTCTTCCGGCAATCTTAATTCTGGTTTGGGATTCCTCCAGTCCAGACTTTCACATGATGTATTCTGCATATAAGGTAAGTAAGCTGGGGGACAATATACAGCCTTGTCGTACTCGTTTCCCAATTTTGAACCAATCGGTGTTTCCATATCCAGTTCTAGCTGCTGCTTCCTGTCCCACATATAGGTTTCTCAGAAGATAGATAAGGTGGTCAGGCACTCCCATTTCTTTAAGTTTTAAAAATACTTTCCCACTCACTACATTCCTATAGAAATACTTTTCTTTGTTATGATTAAGCATACCTGTTTTAAAAATACTTTCCCAATCACTACATTCCTATAGAAATACTTTTCTTTTTTATGATTAAGCATACCCGTCTTCTAGAGAGGAAATGATTATGTTGTTGTTGTTTACATATCATAATAGGCAGACCTGAAGGTCAGGCCACTAAAAATAAAGGTTATGTCATGTACAATAGAGGGAGCTATTATTCCCCTGTTAGTGCACAAGAATCAGAAGAGAAATTTGAATTAATTTGCACATTTCCAAAAGTGGTAGACAGATAGGATTTTGTGTTGTACAGAATACTGGCTGGATGTTATATTTTTGAATGCTCCCTCCAAAATAGCACATTGAGTGGATATATTTAATACAGTCCTTTTTAACTTCTAGCAATTGAGCATAGCCAGTAGCCAGGGATGATGGGAATTATAGTCCAAAGCATCATCAGGAGGCACTGAATTGAGAAAAGATTGTGAAAATCAGTTGCTAGAATTTCAGACTTCTTTAAGTAACACAAAGATTGTGATACTAAGCAAGTATTTTAATATTAATAAATCTATAGTAGTGGATTCATTTCAACAGAAATCTTGTTGGTTTTACCTAGTTTTCCTTTTCATATATGTTAATGGTTGGCTAGGCATGCTGCTTCTTTAGCTATTAATTTCCATCAGCTATGAAGAATTGTCATGTTTTATATCTATGTAGTACTTGGCAAATTGAGTTAAGGGTTATGAAGTTAATGAACAGCTTAAAACGTTTTTGAAACAAAAAATAAAAACACATGAGAGCAAGTATAGCAGATACACTGAAATTAGTAATTCGTGATTATTAGACTAGTCTGCTGTAACAATTCTTATTTATTTCTATGGGGCTTCTCTGCTTGAGGCTAAAAATGGATTTAACCCAAGGTGATTAGAGAAAGAAGATGTTGGCTTCAAGGGAATGATCATTCCAGCAATTAAAAGTTCATAGTAGAAATACAAAATGCAAACCAAGATGCATTTGAGCTCTTAGAGAAGTTTAGGTGAGTAAATAATGTTGATAATGAAAAAACAGAAATAATCAAATATTTTATTTACCTGGGTTCAACAATCAATCAAAGTAGAAACTGGAGCCAATAAATTTGAGGAACACTGAGGCTTGAAAGGGTAGCAGTGGAGGAACTAGGAAAAAATCCTTAAGCGAAAGGAGGTATTGCTGGAGAGCAAGGCTAAAATAATCCATGCTATAGAGTGTTCCCAATTACTATGCGCTTGTTGTGAAAGCTGGACAATGAAGCAAGTAGCCGGGGGTGGGGGGTGGGGGGGGGGAGAGAAAGAGTTTTTTCTTTCAAATATTGTGAGAGCTTTTTTTTAATTTTCCAGTTTAGCTGAACATTCAGCTATTTTCTGCTGCTTTATGGTTGGCCGTAACATCACTGATCATTTCTGTCTGACTAGACAGGTGATCTTTTTAATCTGTATGAAAATGTTATGATGTTGGTTCATTTGTGTGCCTCTTTCATGACAGTGGTTGGTACAGCCCATTCACTTCATCAGTGTGTGTGTGTGTGTTCTGAAACCTTTAATGGCATTTACAAGTTACAACAACACAAGCAAAATAGGAAAAGTAAAATTACACAGATTTTACAAATTAGGAGTGAGAAGCAGGGGACAATTTCAAAATTGCAGAGCCAGTGCAGAGACGAGATTATTGTTATCCTGAAATTTATTTTAATGTTTGGATTTATTTGCATCAATGTCTAAGACAATATCTGAAAATCTGTTATTTTTCAGGTGTGTTGTATATTTCTTGTTCAAAAGAACAATATAAGAATATTCATTCAATATTTTCTAGGCTGTATTTCATCTCCCACACCGCACAATTATGACCAGTGAGTGGTAGGATGAATTCCAACCATTTTGTCCATAAACAACGTTTGATTACACATATTGAACGTAATGGCCAATATCCTGTTGTGTAAGTTCCACGACTGTAAAGGTGATACTGTTATTGGCAGGTGGAAATTAACAGTAATTAAAGCATTTCTGCTTCAGTCCCAGGGCTTACAAGACTTACACACAGTCAGTTTCTCCTGGTGATGTCATTGTCTTTATGCAAAAGAACCTTCACTAATGTGCAGTGGTACTATACATGTAAACACCAAAGTTTATAAGCCGAATCACCTGCAGTCATTATACATCCTCATTATACATCCAAGTACTTTTGTCAAATATGGCTGATATGTATTTGTTTTATGTTTTTTTCCCACCTTGCACATAAGTAGACTCCTTTTGAGCTGCTTCTTAATGGGTTATTCTCTTCAAAAGAAGTAAGATTTATTAATACAGAGTGTGTTATAGTGAGGAAATGAAGAGCTGGAATAATGAGGAGCAGCAAATACGGGTTATAATCAGTTTATGGGAGTGGGCTGATAAGTTTGTAAATATGGGCTTCTGTTTCAGAACTTCAGAGCTATTATTACCTATTATATATAGGGAATATGCATGAGCCATGTCCACAGGTAAGAAGAATATATGAATACAACATTTCATTCTTCTGGAGATGTTTGGAGCAATGAGATGAAGTGCTTAATGAGTAAAGTTCTTTTTACTGCCCTTTTTACCGTGGTAGACAAAATGGGCCCATGACCAGAAGCCTGGACCAATGCAATAGTAGTTCCAATCTACAAATCAGGTAATCCCTAAACCCTAGTAATTATAGATCAATCAGTCTTTTATCTATCATAAGAAAACTTTATGCTAAACATATTTTAAATAAACTGGTAGCCTGGGAAGAGCAAATGGCAATAATTGGACCAGAATAAGCAGGATTTAGGAAAGGGAAGTCCACCCTGGATCACTGTGTCACCTTAGTACATCGGATAAATAAATATGTACAGCAGACAGAATCTAAACTATATGTAGTCCTTTTAGATTTAAGGGGAGCTTTTGATTTGATTAAGTTGACCGAAAAAAATTCTGGAACAAACTTGCCAACCTCTCAATTGACAGACGGCTGATATTTATTATTAAGAGACTGTATTCTGCAACCTCCTGCCAAATTAAATGCTCAAACTCAGGGATCTTAACTGACTGGATATCCACCAACAGAGGGGTCAAACAGGGCTCTTTATTAGCCCCTTCCCTGTTCAACTTGTTTTTGCGTGACTTAGCCCCTTTCCTATTGGAAACTGAGGGCCACCTTCTTAAAATCAGCTCTATGCAGGTCCCTTTACTTTTGTACACAGACGATGCAGTTACCTCATCTCGTACCAAAGCTGGTTTAAAATGTCTGATGTACAAATGCCAGAGGGCCCTATACTATCATCTATTACAATTGCCTCAAAAACGCAGAGCCTATTCCCTGACCAGATTTAATGTAATGCCTTCAGCAGTGACCAGTGAGTTATCTGGCAGGTCTCAGGGTATTCCTTACAATGAGAGGATTGCTCTTGTGAACTGGGAGGAACTGAGTCCCTGGTACATATAGGTTTACATTGTCCTCGCTATTCTGAACCCTGCACTCGAGATCTGGGCTCAATATTACTTATTATTATTATAATAATAAGGTATATAGGATAGGATGCAGAGTGTGTCTTGCAGCATGAATAGTAAAACTACATTGAATCTGAACAAACTTTGATATTGTTCCAGAAAGATGCAAACAAGTTTCACTGAATGTAGTTTTTGACTAAGTGTTTTGTATGTGCCAATAAAGGTTTTTTATTTGATTTGATTTGAGTAATGTTCTTTACTTAAGAGACTGGTTTTCAACAGAGTTGAAAATCCATAGCTGTCATTAAAAGCTTAGGAGTAATTGTGGGCCATCAAGTAAGTTTCAGCCTGTGACCCTTTCCAGAGTTTTCTAGGTAGAGAATACTCGGGAGTGGTTTATCATTTCCTTCTCATTGGCCACTCTGCAGCTTGCCCAAGGTTATATGGGTTGGCACCTTCTGGGAGGCATGGTAGGAATCAGACTCCCAAATTCTGGCTCCATAGCTGAGTACTCAGTTTTACTGCACTATTCAGCCAAAAATTAAACAGTGCAAAATATCTTATTTGAAGTTTGCCATTGGTATTTGAACAAATACTGAACCAGAAGAAAAACACAAGTAAAAGAATATACTGTAATGGGAATAAATGCTACTCTCAGTAATAAAAATGAATGGCAGAAATATTAACCATTTGTCAAGTGTCAGATTAGTTGTTCATAAATGTAATTAATTGCCATTAAAAGTAATTTTGTTGGCTACAAAGTGTTAGGATTTGACTTCTGTACTATGCAATCATGTAGTCAGTTGAAGATATCATCTAAATAGCGACTTGTTAATTCACGTTGTATTTTCTTTCATAATAAACCTCTTATAGAAATTGTTGGAAGTTATTTCACACTGCATTCATGGCACCTTAACAGAATTCCATCGGCACAAAGTACTGTAGCTCCATACTTACAATTGGTAGGGAAGCACAGCAGAGGGTATGAAAGAAGAAACCAGGTAGGAAACAATGTTGTAGTTTGGTGCCAGTAGTTAAATCCTGGAATCACTGTTCCTTTTGGTGGTGTATGGGTGGAAAATAAGGAGACTCCAAAGAGAGATGTGACGTTTTAGATTTTGGCAAAGATTTTTCCAGTAAATCTACTGCCTTTCCCCCTGACTTCCACAATTCCATTCATGCTGACACGAGATTTGAAAGTCAACTGAATCCATATGAACTCCAGTTTCTCAGTTACTTCATTGATAATTCTATCTCCCATGAATATTTGTAGGGATAACACATGTACATTGACCAAAGAAAGAACCCTCCTATTCACACTTTTTCTTCAAATTTTTAAATTCGTCTGAATTAACAAAACACATTATATGACAGCATGTTTCAAACTGATTTGCTGCTTAATGAAGCTTTTAAAAAAACAGTCTACATTGGTGATAACAGACTAAAATGAAAAGTGCATGCACAGCATATGGAGATTAAAACATTCCCTAAACCTGCAATCATGCCAGTTTTTATCCTGATACAAAGGAAGACTTCTTTATATATTTTCTTTGAAAAAGGTCATAGAAGACAACAGAGCAATTTGTCGTAGCCTTTAGCCTTTAAACCTAGAAATGTAAAGTTGTCAGCTGGTAATGTCTCCTTGCTTACTAACCACTTAGACAGATTTAAAATAAACTGTCAAATTGATACAATGTGACAATACTGAAATAGTGTTCTGTTTACCAACTGCTGAATTTTCTTATTTGCTCTTAGAATTTGAATTCTCCTGCCCCTCTTCCCCATAATTTTTTGTCTCGTTACAATGTATTATGAGTGAGGAATTTTTCAAAAGATTCCCATCTAGTTTGTCGTTCCTAACATTCTGTAAAGCATGACTGAACTACAGCACTGCTGCAGATTATGAGGCTTGAAAAAATAAATTCACATATAATATGCTGACTTTCTTTCATGTCCTTCAGACACTGCAGGGAATGAATGTTGCAATGGCTGAGCATTCAAATTCAGCTTGCCACCTACACAAAACCACATTATATGTATAGCAATAACAGCAGCATTAGAACAGATGCCATACATTGGTACCAACATCAAAATCACAGTTGCGGTCTTAATTTTGCACGGAATCGCTCCATAAAAAAAGAGTGCTGACGAATTAGAAACAAAACAAAATAGATTTTTATTGATATGTTTTACTTTGCTGGCAGACCAGAGCAAAGGTTTTCTGAACATTTAAAAGATGAAAAAGGTGAAGATTCCCAGAAGCGATTTATCTTGAAGCGAGATAACTCTAGTATTGATAAAGAAGACAACCAGGTTGGTTCTCGGTTCAAAAGTTGCTGGAATCTCGTCTTTGGTTTCTTTCTTTTCTTTTCTTTTCCTTTCTTTCATTCCTTTCTTTTTTTCTTTTTTTTAAAGTGGGCTGACTGCTGTTGTTTTTGTTCTTTTATTGTTGCTGCTGCTTTCTTTCCCTGCTCCTTTGTATCTCCCTCTCCTGTTTCTTCTGCCTAGTTTTCGCACATTGTGGAAGAGCATCAAGCCATGATCGCGTTTGTTTCAGCAACAGCAGTTTGCATGGGCAGTTTTGCTTGGCACAGGAAATGCTGCATGCTAAGGGGTTATTTGGAATGCTCAAAAGGCTCCCAACCCAAAGGAAGAACCTATTGTCAGTTACATTTTGAGAAATGGCTTTGGGACTGCCTAGCAATGATTCCAGTTTCTACGACCGTGATAAGGTGTATGGAGGAGAGTAATTAACAGGTGAACAGTATCTGTAAAAGAAGGGAAGTGTTGCAATGAGAACTGATTCATTTTGCAATTATCCACACACAAGTCTTTAGTTGGGGAAAATAGTATTTCAGATTGCTCCACCATGGTGTTGCATTGCAGATGATGCTTATTTGCTCGATTTTGCATGTATGTATCAGAAACCTCCCCTCCTGTGTGCTGCTTGCCATTGTTAAATATACTAATGTGATGATGTATGCCAAAATGTGTATGTGCTTGGAACTGGCTAGGTTTACAGTCCTTTATTTATTTTTTAAAGTAAAATTGTGAAGTTATTCTTTCAAGAATCTTTAAAATCCAATCGAAATACATGCAGTCATTTTTTTTTAAAAAAGTAGAACTTCAAAATGGGTTTGAATCTGAATTAAGGTAAGCAAATATGTGTACCCTCATTTAGATTCCTTGCACTATGATTTATACTACTAAATCACTCAACACCTGAGTTGCCCCGTCCAGTTCATATGTTGAGTTAAGTACTGTTTTCTCTCACATTTTCTTTTACAGTATGTAACTTCTTTAGGCACCTGGTGTTATAGCTGGCTTTCACATAAAAAAATAAAAATAAAAAAGGGATCTAGGCAGCATAGATTTTGAGGAAGGATGCATAATTTGTGTATGTCGTTTGGTGGGAGATACAGTATTGGTAAAGAACCAAGAACATTGTGGCTAGAGGCTATGGAGATTTATAGAAGGTCATTTCTTTTCAATTAAGCACTTCAGTATGTGTTACCGCCTTCTGGACTTTGCAGCAATGAAAGACTGTATTTTTCTCTTTTTTATGGCAATGACCCAAGGATTACTACTGAAATTATTAAAACTCTTGTGCATAATATTCTCCGAACCATTTCTCCTCATCATTGTGGAGGCTCTTTCAGCCTTTAATGCCATTCAGTTTTTCATGTTCTTTTCCTTCATTTGATTGATAACTTCACTTTTCAGTAGACTCTCTCTTCAAAAAAAAATTAAGGATCCCCTGGCTATTCAGGAGGATCTCGAGTATAAGGAACCAAAACCTCTAAATTCTAGCTTGCAGATTCACAAAAGTCTTTAAACAGAAAATACACACTCATGCTGTTTCATCTCTTTTTACACATAGGAAATGTCACAGCTATCATTGTTTAGTGCTAGAGCACACATTTTTACACACAGAAGATCAGTTATCATTAACAGAGTCTCAAAAGTAAGGTTTATTTAGTTCACTTATCATTAAATTTATATGGCACAAAACAACAGCATACTGGTGCTGTGCTGGTGTGGCTAACAATGAAGAATAAAAACTATCAGATGCTGAAGACCTTGGAGAGCTCCTGTGAGCTAGAATGGGCAGAACTGTGTGAGAAGCACCCAAAGGATGCTCAACATAAGGCAGCTTAGCTTAATCACAAAGAACCAAACAATGCCATTTAAAATAGAAACACTTCTGTATCATCCAACTTGATGCTGTAGGTATAACATCATGATTCACATGCCACCTGAGGAATATAACAATGCTGTCATTCTCATGCCTCATTTGTTTAAGTGAACATCTATTCTTTTCAACTGACAGTGACTTAACTGCAGTTTTTAGCAGCCCAACTTATATAATCCTCCTGGTTTGTTTTTTTTCATGCTCAGCAAAACAGAAATCATCCATTTAGAGATGACAGACGAAGTAAATCAATTGAAGAGAGAGAAGAGGAGTATCAGAGGGTGAGGGAGAGAATATTTGCACAAGATGTGAGTAGTTGTTTTAATTGCCTCTTTAGTGGCATATCTTTATCAGTAGTCAGTCAGTTTGCTCCGGTTCTGACTCTGTGGCAAGATTGCACTTTGTGGCAGGAGATAGTGGAAGAAAGAGTGTAAGTGACTAAAGTTTGATTTAATTTGGGTTGTGGGGTTTTTTGTTTGTTTGTTTGTTTTTTAAATACAGAGATGGAAGATTTTAAGAATATGGGACAAGATTAAATCTAATAGGGTAGGTGTGCTATACCTTTTCCTTCTTTGTGTAGGTGGCACAGGTGCCATTCTATAATACTGTCCTCTAGAACAGTGGTTCTTAACCTTTGTTACTCGGATGCTTTTGAACTGCAACTCCCAGAAACCCCAGTCAGGACAGCTGGTGGTGAAGGCTTCTGGGAGTTGCAGTCCAAAACTCCTGAGTAACCCAAGGTTAAGAACCAGTGCTCTAGAACATTGGCTTAAATGGACAGGTTTTTTTTCTATATCTTTTCTGCTACTTGATTTCATTCACAAATATATTCCAGTTTTTCTTATTAGTCATATGGAAGAGAGAAGGAACTAAATATTAATCTTGTGACCTGGCAGTTGTGTTAACTCATAAATAAGTGGGAAATAGATAAACGTACAAATATTTTAGACATATTAGATAAACAGGAAAACAAGGAAAACTGGGGTCTGTATATAAATATATATTAGGGCTGACGTCTGGAAGGGTCAGCTATGTGTACTGGAAGAAAAAAATCTACTTGCACAATATTTGGCTGTAGCTATGACATCATAGCTCCTCTTTTTGAATCATTTCACAGTACAATCAAATGCTTGTTTACTTAGAAGTAAGACATTCTGGGTTCAATGGACCTTACTCCCTTGTAAATGAGTTTAGGACTATAAGCAAAAATTTTGTTTTGTTTTTGTTTACTCTGGTAAATGAACAACTGGTGAGAAAGTCCTAAAATCAACTGTTAGACCCAACTGGGGACCCAGTGAAAAATAAGAATTTAATTAACTTACTATTCATAAACAACTACTTACCTAATTGCTCATGTAATTAGATAAACAACTATTTATAAGTAATGGGATTTAGGTAAGTAACTGAATGGTTAGCAGTTGATAGAATGGGTCTACTGTAGTTGCAACTAGCAGGTAGGTTTAGGCTGATAATCTATAACTATCTAAGTAATATTTTAAAAAAGCAAAGGAAAAGTTACAGCCTTGTGGAGTGTTTGAAGTACAAGCAGATATACAGTCTGACTGCCTCTAGGCTGAAGGAGATTGTTCCTTGCTAGTGGATGTAGGGGAACACTCCAAGAGCCTTTTAAAATGAACTTGTCATTGCATCCTTATAGATGCATGATCACGGAGGAGGAGGAGGAAGTTTCATCTAGAAAGGACCTATCTTTTTCTCTTTTTTTGCAAGTGTTGTGCACAGATGCCAAAAGATAAGAAAGTCAAAATTTCAACAAGGCAGCCACAATTGGGAGAGGAAAGGAATGGGAAAGAAAGAAGAAGGCAAGAGTAGTGGAACAGCTGTTCTTTCTAAGGCCAGTGGGGGAAGAAATCAGGTTAGTCTCACAATGTTCCACCTGTTGCATCCCTATACCCTCTTCTTTTCTAGTGGACTTGATGATTAGGTACCAAATTAGTCTCTCCCTTCTACCTAAGAGACAAGAATGTAAAGCTTCCCAGTACCCATTGGTGACCTGTTCAGTGTCTGCGGCCTCAAAGCTGACTGTCTCTAGGCTTACTGCCTCTAGGCTGAAGGAGGTTGTGCCTTGCCAGTGGAAACGTACATCTATAGGTACGCTCTACCCCACCCCCATATGGATGGATGACCAAATGTGTCCGAAAAGTGTGTCAACAAAGAGGTGTTATTGGGCTAAATGAAAAAGTTATCTGACTCAGTAAAAATCATCACATCACATACTATCCTTTTCCTTCATCACCCATTTGCCAGCTCTTTTGACAGCCTTCTGTCCTGGGTCACTAACAAAAAAATCCTGTACTTGGATACTAGAGCATAATGCATTTCATAAATGGACAGGCACACACATCTGTACAACACACATCTGTACAAACCTGTTCTTGTGATTATAGCAGATTTTTCTTTGGCATAGAGAATGAATGTTTAATGTACGTCCTTCCATATCTGATAAGTGTCCCTTTGGATTTGTACACTCATTTTTTTAAAGAAAAGCTCATTACTACAGCCATCTAGTGTAGAAAACAGAAACAATATTCTAAAAATTTTACTCCTGGAATAAAACTTCACACTGGCCAAATCCTGTTGCACAGTTATGCTTCTGTAAGAAAAGTGGAGTAACCTGTAGTGGCAACTTACTGCTATTTAAGGAGTCCCACATAGATCCCTGGTTGCACGCCAAGTCATGCCACTGGTGCACAATAATGAATCCAAGCAAGGACTCATTAATATGCTGTTGTGAATCGCACCATTGCTTTCCATCAGTGTAACTACACAGCAGGATTTTGGCCACTGAAGTATGATAGCACCAATGAGGTAAACAAGTCTTCCTTTCAATGTCAGTATATTTCAGTCCACCACAATAAGAATTCTAAAATTCCATTTCAGTAAATAATAATCTGAAACAGCTGTTTCACTGGCAAGGTTCCAGGAGGAACACCTGGAATTCAAGATGTGTCTACATTTTCATGCAGTATGACTATAATAGTTGTGAAAATTCACACTGTATGGATACAAATATACAAATCCAATTTTAGCTCAGTCTTGGATAGGATGAAGGATCAAGACCCAACATAAATTTTGTCTTACGGGAATCTGAGATGCATATATACTCAGGTTAGAAATTATCTATCACCTTTTCTATTTTATTTAAGTGATTAAATGATTTAAATGATTAAAAATACTATTAGATTATGATTAAAATACTATTATAGAAGCATTCATTTTTTAAAAAATTATGTTGTGTTTAAATTATGCTATCCTAACTTATTTGATATGGCCTGTATTGGTGTGATTGGAAACGGTATCAAAAGAAAATTGAGCAGATTGGCAGCTGTAGAAACAGACAGGTTTGGGTTACGTAACAGGTGATGTAGAGTGAGTAATAAGCTGTTGAAGAAACACATCAAATATACTCTTGCTGAAACAGTTAACAACTACCAAATCACATTTTCAGTTAGTTAGTTGATGTAAGTGAAAACTGTTTCAAGATGCTAATGCAGTATTCTTGTTGCCTTTGAAAGGAGCTTCAGAATTTCAGATCATAACCCTTAGAACAATTTTTTTGACATTTTTATTCAGGAATACAATTTCTTAGCAATATGTAGACTGCAGTAAATTCCAATTTGATGTGGTTTCAGTATTTGACAAACCGATGAGTTCAAATTACAGTTCAAGTTTTATTTACGTTCTATCTTTCTCCCCCAAAGTCCCTCCAACCTTTGAAAATTTAACAGAAGGGTTCAAAGGTTTGATGCATCATCATGTGAGTGTTTAGGCTGAGACATAAGAAAAAAGATTGTTTCATAATGGTAAAACTTCTGTTACATTAATTTTATTATAACATGGCTGGAAAATAGCCTAGTGCAAGTGCTGAAACTGTTCTATACCTTCAGCAAAACAAAACAAGGCAAAACAAATAAAAGCATCAAACTAGTTGTCCAGCAGAGTTCACGTCCCCTTGGAAGCAACTGAGTGTGTGACACTGAGACCAGGTCACAAAACCCATTGATGTCATTAAACATGCTATCTCATCAATGTATTGTCCTGTTGTTATCAACTGAAGGCAAATTAATACAGATTCATGCAGCAAATGCTTGGCTATGTTTAGAAGACCATATCAGTTTTCATAAGGATCTGCTTTAGTCCGGCATTTTGCTATTCAGTAATTAGACATATGCTGTTGGCAGCTCATATACATGCATGATACACTAAAGAACTAAGTCAGTCATGACTAGAGGGAGAATTTCTGTGACATTTCACATTTTCTCTGCAATCCACATTTGAACTAATAAGCAAGTTCAAACATGTTTATGAGTAATCTGGCCTTTCTCACCAGATTACTCATAAACATGTTCAAACCCACCCATAAATTCAAACATAGGTTGCAGATAAAAATGGCATACCATAGAAATCTTCCCCCTAGTCATGACTGTAGTGAAGAAACACTTCTTCAGAACAGCATATCCTATACATGGGTAATATCCCAGGTTCAGCTGCAGGTATCTACAGTAAGGGCTGGGAATGGCACTTGTTTGAAACTTTGAGGATCTCCTGCCAATTGGTATAAACAACACTAAGCTAGATACTCAGTGTCACAATGCAGCTTCTTACATTACTGTACTTTATTTTACTTGTCTGCCATGAATCTACTGTAAGACGGATTTCAGAAATCACTGCATCATAGTATCTTCAGAAAACAATACAAAAGGAAGCATACCTCCCCAGTATCCCTCCAATAGTAGAGATTTCATCTCTGATATCAAGGCTGTACCTTCAAAGCCATTGGCTCCTGGGTGTAAACACTGACTAGAACTTCTACAGTTGGCAAATCAGTCAGAGATTCAGGTTGGTTCCTCCTTCATCTTTTCCACATGAGAAAGACACAGAAAGAACCATGTACACTTTGCCAAGCTAAGTATTTGGTTAGCTCTATGTTGCATGAGGAAGTGAGGCATGAAGATCGGCTAATTTAACAGGTGAAAGGTTCTCCATTTTTGCCATGTACAGTATTAATACTGCATAAAGGATATATAAAGGATGGTAAACACAGAACAGATGATAAGGCATGAGGGAGAAACCCATAACTGAAACATATATAGAAAAATTATCAAGTTTATAAAATTTGTTTTCTGGCACATCTGAGTCTATCTGGGAACAGAGCTGGGTGATAATCGTCTTCACACTTTGGTGGAATAATACAGATGTTCTTGAGTTAGTTTGCTTGTCCATATGGATTTTGCAATGGAAGAATGTAGTACTCAGTTCTTTATTCAGGCCTTACATTATGGAATAATAGCAACTACACAAACAATTTACAGCAAAGTTCATTTAGGTGGTATGACTAAGTCATCAGGGGAGAAAGTTTTCAAGCCAGAGAGAGAGAGAGAGAGAGCAGAGAAGAAATGGAGAAACAAAAGCCAAACAACTGTGGGGATGGGTGTGTGGAAGAAATACATATTAGTGAGTTTGTTTATTTACAACGATCTGCTTCCTTTACAAATGGAGATGCCCATGCTGTTCTGACAGTCTAACCCATCCTGGCTGTTCTGGTTGTTCTTTTATGTTGTAGGTTGTATTTAAACTATGTTAGTTGCTATTTAGTTCTCAAAAAGATTAGTGGGGCTTAAGCTTTGGCTAATTTGTCTCAGTGATTTCAGAGTGAGACAAATGTGCATCTATGTCCGAATCCATCCCATTGCAGATTTATGGTGATGATGATGATGATTCTCTTGAATGCTGATGGTTGAAAGTTGTCAATCTTGGTTTACCATATATTTACTAACTCATTTACAGGTGAAGGCCAATAATCAAGTTGACAACTGAAGTGCATATCTAAATTAAGTAATTTACCTTCTAAGCCACACAGTTTTCCTCATTGATTATGTTTCATGTGCAGCTCCTAAGTTGTTCAAATGGTTGGCAGAACCAACTGGCTGTGGTGTCAGCAGGGCTTCTTGCCAGACCACTTGGGTCACTACTCTTCCCTTCTCAGATTATGGGCTACCCAGGCTGATGACTCTGTTTTAAAGAAAGTGTTTGATTTTGCATAAAATATTTTACATATATGTCAATAATAGTAATAATATAGATATAAGAAAGATGGAAATTTAATATCAGAAGTAGTGTTACACATAGAAGACAGTAGGGTGTTTTTAAGCATGTAGGAATTGTTCAGCAGGCCCTTAAATAAAGCAATTTATGCATACATATATTCAGCTTTTTGTCCTACATTCCCTGAAATGTGTGACTGGAAGGCAAGTGAGAAATGTTAAGGTAGCATTAGCAATTGCTATGCTATGATAGTGTGAGCATTAAGCAAATGGAGCATTGCGTATGAAAGAGCAAAGTGAATCTCAAAATTATAATCGCTAGCTCACTTCCCCTAAAGCTTCTTGGCTCTTTCCTTTCCTTTTTCTTTAAATAACAAGGGTAATATAATAAAATGTCTGTCTTCTGTGTCATGGAGACTACATCTGAGAAATAGATATTCCAGGAGATGGCATGGCCTTGTGCCAATTTCTGAAGCATGGAAGATGAATTGTACTATTATTGAGTGTATCCATAAGGTTGTAAAGTTGATTACACTGATACCCTTCAAGATACTGAAGAGGTAACAGACGTTTCACAGTATTTAATAAGATACAACTTTTTAGTGCTTATTTAAGCTTATGCTTGACACAGGCAGCTCCAATATTTATCAGATGTGGTCTCTTCCCTTTGTCCCCACCAAAAAACCCTTGGATTTTGTATGCCAGTCTCAATTTCTGTAGTGTTTTCTTACACAAATTTCAGAAAACCTTGTTTGGCATTTAGCATGAGAAAAAGCAACAACAAGCTAATAAACAGAGTTGACAACAAATATATGGCCTTCTGGTTCTTGGCATAGGTTGTACTATCAGGATTAAATACTACAAAACGAAAGTTTGACTATGACAGTTAATGCCTATATACTTTGACAACCTTTATTATTATTACCATGTAAGTTGGAATCATCACTGTTAGTTTACAATGATCTATTAGGGTAGATAAATATATATATTTCTTGGTTTCAGCTGTACAATACTAGCTAAGTTCATGTGAAAGCTTCAGCTGTATGCACTTCAAAGGAAAACTCTAGAAATGAACATAAATCAATCCTGTAGCTTTTTCTGTCCATCTCATTAAGAACGGATATGTAGGAAATAAGTGGATGTTTGCAACACTAGACTTTTATCTGGCTTGTGATACATCTTCTGTCATTCTGTAGTAGGTTCGCAATTCTGGAAGCAAAAGCCCTGATTGCATTGCTGTCTGTCCTCTCCTCTCTCTTTCTCTCTTTTTTTTTAGCTTCAGTGCAAGTTTAGCTGAAGCTTCTTTTGCTTCCCAAAAGCATTTACTCCATTCTTTATGAACAAAGAACAAACAGGAAAGACACAATCAACTCATAGTTATTCCTGGAATAGTGAACATAAATTAATTTCTCCACGTAAACAATTAATCAGTGTTGAAGTGACACATTCTTAGAAATAGATTTTTTTCTAACTCTCTTTTTTAACCTCAACAGATCTTCTTTTTTATGTAAAAAAACCCACCACTTTTTTGTTACCCTTGTCAAAAACCTCCTTTTTAAAAATCTCCTTTCTTCTGAAATAAGTCTTGATATAAGATAACCAACAGTCACTGCTATTGTCAATCTCTCGTTAATAAATGTCCGAAGGCTCCTTGTTTCAGTGATGCATGAATTTCAATCTCTTAGCTTGACTATGGAAAGTGATTCTGTTTCCAGAAAAAATGAGATTGTTGAATGTTAAACATTAAATCCATTTTTTTCATTTTGTTTTTCAGTCAGTTTGCTCCCAGGAAAACCTTTTGGTGGATAACAGGTGAAAATACATATGTGTCTATTTCAAATTTTATTTAATAAGCTTAAGTTCTGTTGTAAAAGTGCACTGCTTATACTTCCTATATACTTGTTCAAATAATTAGTATATGCCTTGAACTGAGAGTGAAGGACATAAAGACACAGGACACAATATTTTAGAGGGTTTTTTTTTTAAAAAAAGTGAAATGAAAGATTATTTTAAAAGTAACACCAATGATATATGCCACTTGTTGTGGCCTGTTCCCACCTTAACTAGTGAGTCACATCTATGAATATCCTGGATTTCAAATCAAAGCCTACACTGGGTCACTGGGGTTTTTTTCTTGGTTGTTTAGGCTTATTTTTTTCAGATATATACTTTTCACTTAACATTGTTGCAATTTTGTTACTAAAAGTAAAAGGTGTCCTAAATGTTAGCCCACACATCAAAATAAAAGATAGATAATAATGGACTGTGTGGTCATTGCATGAAACATAATCATGTCTTCTGCTGAATTGCTGTTGTTTTTTTTAAAAAAAGCAGTGACAAATAATGATTTTAACTGCTGAAATTACTTTTACTTTTTCATTAACATTTTAAATTTTTGTTTCCTCCCCTTTATGTTCCACCAGGGTGTTGGAGGATAGTATGTGTAATGAAACTCTGAAAAAAAGACAGCTCTTCAGGTATGCAGATGAATATACCTTAACGTTTTTTGCTGACAGTAATATTTCTGTGAAATCAGAGGATCAATGCTAATTGATACTGATGTGGGTTTTGTCCCTCCTCATGGGTGTTTTTATTTTAATAATCTTTGGGTTAATGTGTAACAGCAAAATAAAAACAAACACCAAAGCATAAAAATGAGAGGCAGCTTTCAGAAGCTGGTCACACACACCACATACCTCAGGACCTCCTCTGTGCTCTAGCACTCCCATCTATAAAGAGCTAAAAATGGAGAATATTTTGAAAACAAGAGAAACAAAGGCTCAATATAAGAAACACTCATTTGATAATAAATTAAGCAGTTGGAAAAATAAACCACTACATGGACAACACCTGAGAAATATTCATGGAAGGCATGAAAATAATTCAACATGGCCATGGCTAAAACTGGGGACCATTAAGAAAGAAACCAAAGGCTTGATTATTACTGCACAAGAATAAACAGTCCAGGATAATGTGATGAAAGCAAAGATTCAAAGAATTAGTGCTAACAGCAAACATTGACTCTGCCAAGAAAAAGATGAAACTGTGTCACACCTCATCTGTGAATGTCCAAGAATTGCACAAAGAGATTACAGAATTAGACATGGTAGAGTGGCAAAGTCAGTGCACTGGTCATTAGGCAAGAAATGTAACTTGCAGCCTCCCAAAACCCATGGGAACATCAGGTAGAGAAGGTGTCAAAAAATGAAAAAGTGAAGATCTTGTGGGATTTCCGGATCTAAACTAATAGACACCTTGAACATATCACACCAGGCATAGTAGTAACGGAATGAAGAAATTGTCAGGATAATTGACATTGCAATTCTAGGAGATGCCGGAGTTAAAAATAAAAAAAAAATGGAAAAACTAACAACATACAGAGATCTGGCAATCAAAATATCTTACTTGTGGATGAAACATACCTCAGTGGCCTCCATGCTTAACAGAAGTAAATGAGATATGCTTTCCAAGTTCCTTTGTGTTTTAGAATGCAAGTCTGGATTATTGTTTTGTTAGCTGTACATATCTCCTCTGTTTGAGGTGCAGCTTTCTTCTGCTAGTGCTTCAAACAATTTCACAGTATCATTAGACCTCTGTGAAAGCAATAAACATAAAGCATGACTTTAGATGAAATTGGTTTTATTTTTGAGATGAAGTGTCCTATTGTAAGCTGATGGAGTTATATGTACTTGGTGTGTATGAAGTTCAAGCTCCTATTTTGTGCCACAAGATAAAGAGAAAATCAGGAAGCATTTTCAAAAAGCTTTGGTCTTGGTTGTGTGTGGTGAAGGACAGTGTTAGTGGGTAACACTGTACTTCACCACTCACACTTTTAGAAGGGTAAAAGTGTAAGTCATTTTTGTGATGAGTTAAGGTTTTGAATAGCATCTGAGGAAATTGCATGTTCCCAGTTTTTATAAAAGTGACATATTTTGTTACAATTTATATTCAGCTTAGTATCTTCAGTAGTTTGCTGATTGCTTCATGACTATTCAAAAAAAATAACTTCTGTATAAAGGGGCTCAGAAAAATAATAATAGATGCTTGAGTGCTAAGAGCATTGGCACAAGTGTTATTCTGGTAAGACAAGTATGAACAGACAAGGAAATGTTCACTGCAGTTGTATTGAATACATTAGACCTTGTAAAAGAACCAGCCAAGTAATTATGTGAGAAGTGGATAAATAGGCAGGTAGTCAAAGAGACCAAGACTAAAGGGCAATACAAAGATGAATAAGAAAGAATAATTATAGTAAAGCAGAATTAAGAGGTTTAAGACTACAATATAAAACCTTTTTTGATGGGATGCAGAGGAAGGGAGAGCTGGTGAAGGAGTCTGGAGAAGTTAAAATGGTGCATGGGAGGCTGGCGGTGGGGAGGTGGAAGACTCAAAAATAGTGTTTGAAAAATTCAAGATTGTTCTGGATCAAACTGGACAGTTCATTGTATGTGTGGATATATTTCAAATGTACTATTTTTTTAAAAAATAAAAGATTATATCTCACACAAAGATAAATGCTTAACCTGTTCCTCTGGCACTGGGTTTCAGACAAAATTCCCTTACTCTGAAGCTGCTGGACAACAAGAATAGCAGCTTCATTATTTAATTTTTTATGAAATCTCCACATGAGGAAGAAGATTAAACCCAGTCTCTACTTGCCAGGGTCCCGTTTCTCTTTGTCCATGATTTAAAAACAAAATGCAAACGTAGTAAATGCAGTTTACACATTCAACGTATCATCTTCTTTTATCCTTACAGTGGTCAGTTTCAGATGTTTGTAGCAGAATATCATTTGTCACTAATTAACAACACCAACATTACTCTTTCCCTTTCCTTTTTAGAGGGGTTAAGCAGTAATATTTAAAAATAATCTACAAAGAAGGAAACATACCACAGATTTTTCTTTTTTTCTTTCTTCTTATCAGAGCATTGCACAATTTTAAATTATGAACATATATGAAATATAAGTAACATTAAAAACAAGTTAAAATGTTGATAATTAGATTATTTTTGAGCAGAAGAGGGCTGCTTTGTCAGCATTATCTCAACTATATGTGCAATCCCTGTTTTTTTAACTTGATTTTGTTTATGCATGAAATTTGAATCCCATGGGATTCAAATTTCAGGCAAAAACAAAATCAAGTTAAAAATATATATATGAGACACTGATTTTAACAAAGGAACTTTTTATATATATATACACATTTTTATACACATAAACACACACACTTTAGCTGATCAGGTTCAGGTTTCCAGCAACCTAGATTAAATTAATTTTGATCTAATGTGTGTTTTTATATACCCTTTCCTTCCGACTTTGGTGCTCTAGGGGGAATAGAGATAGTACGAGTAAGACATCTGGGAGTCGGCAAAGCAGTACAGATAATGAATTGAAATGGACAGATCACCAGAGGCCATGGAGCAGCACAGACTCAGACAGTTCCGGTCGCAACTTGAAGCCAGCCATAACAAAGACAGCAAGTTTGGGTGGAATATCTGTTCTGACAAGAGGAGATAGCTCATCAAGTAACAGAAGTACTGGCAAACTGTCTAAAGCAGGTAGCTAGTACTGTATTGGGTTTGTCAATTTTCTACTAAGCATGAACATTATGTTGGTGGACCTGGCTATAATAAGTGATGTCATTAGCTTTGTCCAGTAATTTAAAGTATAATGGTATTAAAAACATGAAGCATCAATATTGGCTCAATATATATTTTCCCATGTAAATGACTTTATATGTGATATGCACTAGAAGGTTGCATTACTTTCATGAAAAGCTTGTTTCCTAAACCCACAGCATCTGTCTGATGAAGCATAAGGAAATAGAACATGAAACAATGTGCATTATGAAGAAAAGTAAGCAAACATTGAATATAACAATTGGGAAACAAAAGAATCAGTCACTGAAGTTTTGCATTTTAATATGGTGGTTGTATATTGAGATCATTTCTCACTGGGAATGCAAACAAAAAAGAGTATAATTTTTACCAATGTTTGTGACCTGGAAATGAGACACTAATTAATGTACACAGAATACTCAGTATCTTTTATAACCTTCTAGTATTAAGTTCATTTTCATCTGAAATGTCATCATAAAGGAAATGTCTATTCATTTTAATGTTAAGCAATGCTAGTAAGCTTTGATACTTAAATCTTACTGTACTTCTGAAAGATGCTCAAGTGTAGACTTCAGTAAGCTTCAGATGGCAGGAATTTTCAAGTTTGTGGACAGGAATGATTCTGTGTGTGCCAGTGAGACTTAAGTTCATGAGTAAGATAGCAAAGTACATGTTCCAGGTGATTTTAAAAACCACAAGAAAATGTAAGAAAGAAGGTAGTCTCATAAAACCCAAATCATAATGCAAAACTGCATGGGAGAAGCAAAGACCCAGGAAATATTTCTGCTATTATGTAAGTTGTCCCATCTTTGCCAGATATTTTCCTCTGTTTGCCTTAGCATTTCATAACACTTCAAGTTGGCTAGTTGGCTAACACACAGTTTAGTATGAGAAGCGTAAGTCCTAATCACTCAACCCCTTCTCCTCTTCCTCTACTTTCTCCCCTTGTATGTGGTGATAGAATACCATTTGTTTAATTTGAACTACTCTCTACCTTCCTGATTCACAGACAAAATATTGTTAAGGATTATATTTTGTTCAGGACTTAAATAACCCTTGATTTCATGTGGAGGCAGGAAATCATTCAGTCATCATCATGCACAAAGGAAGGACAGGATGTTCATCAGATCTGAAGCATGCCTCTTAATGCTAAACTATGTAAACTGTGGGTTAGTAGTATGTCAAGAAGGTGTGTGAGAGTATGGTCTTGAATATATTCACGAAGGCTTTCACGGCAGGGATCTAATGGTTGTTGTGGGTTTTTCAGGCTCTTTGGCCGTGTTCTGAAGGTTGTTCTTCCTAACGTTTCGCCAGTGTCTGTGGCCAGCATCTTCAGAGGTGTGCTGTCCTCTGAAGTGCTGTCCTCTGAAGATGCCTGCCACAGAGACTTGCGAAACGTTAGGAAGAACAACCTTCAGAACACAGCCAAAGAGCCCGAAAAACCTACAACAACCATGGTCTTGAATAATTCTAAGCATCTATCTATCTATCTATCTATCTATCTATCTATCTATCTATCTATCTATCTATCTATCTATCTATCTATCTATCTATCTATCTATCTATCTATCTATCTATCTATCTATCTATCT